CTTAACAGGATTGCTTGTAAAACTCAAGGTGTCCCCAAGACATATATATGACAGAAACGTGGCATCTCTCAACAGGAACATCTGGGAGTATTAGTACCTGGAATGCTGTTAGTGTACTGTGCCAGCCTGGAAGGAGGTCACTTCTGGATTCTGTTTTCAACTAGGACCTTGTTCAGTATTTTTATTAACCTATTAGATTATGCCATAGCAAGCATGTTTACGAAGCTTGCATATAACAGAATTTCAGGTGCCACAACTAATGTATTGGGTCACAGAATCAAGATTTATATTTAATAATCTCTTCCAGAATTTCCTATTTTGCAGGCAAACTCACCAGTCTGAAAATTACAAAATCTGTTCCTTTTAAAAAAGTCTATGGGGGCAGTGGATGCCTCACTTGGTTAAGTGTCTGCGTTCAGTTCATGTCATGATCCCAGGATCCTGGGATTGAGCCCCATTTCAGGCTCCCACCTCAGTGGGGTGTCTGCTTCTCTCTCTCCCTCTGCCCTTCCTCCAGCTGGTGTTCTCTCTCAAATAAATAAATAAAAGCTTAAAAAAAAAAGACTATAAGATTGTGTCTCATTTGGATTGCTCCCTCCCAAAAGGAATGAAAAAAACACTACAAGAAACAAATATCTGGGGCTCATTGGGTTAAAGCCTCTGCCTTTGGCTCAGGTCATGATCCCGGGGTCCTGGGATCAAGCCCAGCATCGGGCTCTCTGCTCGGTGGGGAGCCTGCTTCCTCCTCTCTTTATGTCTTTGCCTACTTGTGATCTCTGTCAAATTAAAAAAAAAAAAAAAAGAAACAAATGTCAATGACAATGAGATTTATGAACTTATTATTTATGTAAGCAACTTTATGGGAAAAGGAACCTGGAGAATATCAAATCATTTGCACGCTCCAAAATTACTTTCATGCTTTATACTTATACACAAGTATTTGTATAGAAATAACGAGGATATATACTATTTGTATTTACTTTTTTCATTTAATTTTAATCATTGACAGTACTTTTTTTTTCAAAGATTTTATTTATTTATTTGACAGAGAAAGGTCACAAGTAGGCAGAGAGGCAGGCAGAGAGAGAGAGAGAGAGAAGCAGGCTTCCTGCTGAGCAAAGAGCTCCATGTGCGGCTCGATCCCAGGACCCTGAGACCATGACCTGAGCCAAAGGCAGTGGCTTAACCCACTGAGCCACCCAGGCGCCCCCCATTGACAGTACTTTTATGTCTACTTTTCTTAATATTTCATTTTCAAAGCAAAAAAAAAAAAAAAAAAGAAATTGAATAAGGTTAAAAGCAAATGTACTTTAGTTAAGGAACAACAGCACTTGTTCTCCCTTTCCCACTCCCCCTGCTTGTGTTCCCTCTCTCACAATCTCTCTCTGTCAAAAAAATACATAAAATCTTAAAAAAAAAAAAAAAAAGAAACAACTGCCCAAGTATAGGGTGTGGAAGACCTGACTTAGTAGTAGTCCAAGAGAAAATAATTATTTTCACTTGTGGCTTTTAGTTTGCCACAAGTTGACTGTCGATAACTCAGTGGTATGATAGGGTTATTATAATTGTGACCGCATTCTCTTGCTGTAAGTACAAGTGATGGAAACAGCCATCATGGCAGGGCTTAAAATGGACCATGTGCTGCGCTGAGCATATTATATATGTTATATTATTTAATCCTTGTTTTGCTGGAAGGTATTACTATCATAGCTACTTTCGGGATGCAGAAATTTTCAGAGATGTGAGCTGGCCGAAGTCTAGCTAGAAGCTGGGGACTGGATTTGAATTGAGATCTGTCCCTCTCAGGGAGAGGTGGTTTCTCCAGTGCCTGGCTCAGATCTTGGTAGAGTAAAAAACAAGAGATTATCTACAGACCCATCGGGGTTGGGGCGTGATGGGGGTAGGGGGGTTGGGGGAGTGGGGGTGAGCGGGAGACTTCTGAAACCATACCAAATGAAAACTCTTTGAAGGATTTAAAGATGTTTAGCTTGGAGAAGGAAAAACTTAGAAGGCTCATAAAAGAATCTTAAAATATTTGAAGGAAGGGCTGTCATTGGCAAAGAATAATGAGATGATTTCGTCTAACTCCAGAGAGCAGAGGCTGGAAGTTACTAGGAAGCAGATTCCAGAAAGGACATTTTAAATTTTTTTTTTTTTTTAAGATTTTATTTATTTATGAGAGAGAGAGAGCGAGCACAGGCAGACAGAATGGCAGGCAGAGGCAGAGGGAGAAGCAGGCTCCCCGCAGAGCAAGGAGCCCGATGTGGGACTCGATCCCAGGACGCCGGGATCATGACCTGAGCCGAAGGCAGCTGCTTAACCAACTGAGCCACCCAGGTGTCCCCAGAAAGGACATTTTAACAGTTAAAAGAGTTGTACTGGGGCACCTGGATGGCTCAGTGGGTTGAGCCTCTGCCTTAAACTCAGGTAGTGATCTCAGGGTGCTAGGATGGAATCGGGCTCTCTGCTCAGCAGGGAGCCTGTTTCCCCCTCTCTCTCTGCCTGCCTCTCTGCCTGCTGGTGATCTCTGTCAAATAAATAAATAAAATCTTAAAAAAAAAAAAAAAAAAAAGGAGTTGTACAAAAAGCCGAAGGAGTTCTCAGAAGAGTTTAAGCAGAGGCTGTATAAACTCTCTGTGGTTGTATGGACCTTCCTATCTAGGGCAAGAAGATGACTCAACCTCTAAGATGACCCTTCCTGCTAAAGACTCCAGATCAGTATTGGAGCTCCTCTAACCTCCTGCTCAAGTTCCCCATCTTGAAGTTTTCTCTGACACGCACAGCCCCCAGTGATTAGTTCCCTCCCCCGCTCTTCCCTCTCCTTGTATCTCAAGGCTACATTCCTTTGAGGGTAAAGAACAGAACTTTGCACATGGCAGGCACCCAAGGATTTGTTTCGATTTAGTAACATGAGGTTTCTTTTGGTAACATATTGTCTTGTTTCCTGTATTAAGTCTTGAAAGTAGAGAGTGAGCCCTTGGAAGTCAAAGACCGTGACTTATATTTATCTGTTTTTCCTTCCCTATAGCACCCACCAGGCGCTTGATAACCACGGTTTTATTTTTTTAAGATTTTATTTATTTGACAGAGAGAGACACAGCGAGAGAGGGAATACAAGCCGGGGAAGTGAGAGAGGGAGAAGCAGGCTTCCCATGAAGCAGGAAGCCCAATGCGGGACTCCATCCCAGGACCCCGGGATCATGACCTGTGCCAAAGGCAGAGCTTAATGACAGAGACCCCCAGGTGCCCGGATAACCATTGTTTTAAATTGAGTGGAACTAGAGCAGACCAAGGATTGATAGCAAAAGTGCAAGAAGCAAAAGGTCGAAAATTATTACCATTTTGCATAAAGGTGTGGGCTTCTTGCAATGCAATAGTGTTCAGGAATTTGTCCAACAGGCAAGATCGGTTAAAATTAAATAATTGTAGGGGCGCCTGGGTGGCTCAGTGGGTTAAAGCCTCTGCCTTCGGCTCAGGTCATGGGCCCAGGGTCCTGGGATTGAGCCCCACATTGGGCTCTCTGCTCAGCGGGGAGCCTGCCTCCCCCTCTCTGCCTGCCTCTCTGCCTGCTTGTGATCTCTCTGTCAAATAAATAAATAAAATATTTTTAAAAAATTAAATCATTGTAAAATAAAAGCTAGAAACAGTAAAGATGTTGAGCATGAGTTTCAATTAAAAGCGACACAATAATATAAGAGGAAGCTCGAGTATTAACAGTCTCTGGCAAGAGGGGTAGTAGCACCCAACTCTTAGTCACAGAGAGAACAACAATTTTAAAACGCAGGGCTCTGCTGATGGATGGAACATGTGTACGGGACAACTGCCGTCACTCACAGCGATGTTTACAGAACATCTGTCTGTAGGTCTATTTGTATTACCTGGCTGTGTCTGGTGTATATATTGGGTGTTGAAAGTTCTTGAGAGAATATAATCCTGCTTTTCCCACTTTTGGGCTGAGGTCTCCCTTCCCCTTCTCCTTCCCTTCCCTTCTTCTGTGTAGTCCCCTCCAAACTTAATGCTGTGAATGGGGTCTACAGAGGACTGCGTTGGAGAATCCTGTCAAGGTATCATTCCACTTCCGTCCCAGTCCTCTCCCCATCCCCCCCACCCTTTAAAAGATTTTACTTATTTATTTATTTTTAAATTTAAAAAAATTATTTTTATTAACATATAATGTATTATTTGCTCCAGGAGTACAGGTCTGTGAATCATCAAGCACTCACCATAGCACATACCCGCCCCAGGGTCCATCACCCAGCTACCGTATCCCTACCCCCCCACCCAAATTCCTCCTATTAGAGAGATCATATAATAATTGTCTTTCTCTGGTTGACTTAGATTTTACTTATTTATTCGACAGAGAGAGACACAGCGAGAGAGGGAACTCAAGCAGGGGGGAGTGGGAGAGGGAGAAGCAGGCTTCCCGCTGAGCAGGGAGCCCCACGCGGGGCTGGATCCCAGGACCCCGGGATCAGGACCCAAGTCGAAGGCAGACGCTTAACGACTGAGCTACCCAGGCGCCCCCTCTCCCCTCACCGCTGCCTATGAATGTGTGTTTTTCACCCGCCAACGGTTCTGTACTGCCCCCGACAGTTTACACCCAAACAAACACAAACCGAGGAAAACACAGCGAGGCGGGTGTCCCCGCCCGCAGGTCGACGGCTTCCCCTCCCTCCTCCTTCGAGGCATGCCCTCCACCCCCCTCTCTCCCTCAGGACCCAGCCAGTCGGAAAGTCCCTACTTCAGGATCGCCGCCCAATCAGGGTGTCCTCACCTGCGGAAGGTGAGCCTCCGGACGCGACAGTCCCCTGGGCCAATCAGAGGCGGCTGGGGCTCGGCAGGGGGCTCGGCAGGGCGCCCGGCGCTCCGAGTGCGGGCGGGCGCACCTGGCGGCGGTGAGTCACTCAGCGGAGTGGCGGCTCCCTCCACCAATCGGAAGGCGCAGGGCCGGGGCGCCGGCCAGTCGTCGCGGGGGGCGGGGCCGGGCGGAGCCCAACCTGGCGGCCGGAGTTTAGTCCCGGAGCGGCGGTGGCTGAAGCTGCGTGTCTGCGCGGGGCTCCTGCGGCCGCGTCGCGTCGGGACCCTGATCGTCATGGGGACAGAGACGAGAGCCGGGAGGAAGCAGCTGCTTCTCTTCACATCGGTCATCCTGTGTAAGTTCCCGGAGTTTCGGGAGGAATCGGTGGGTCGGGGCAGAGGTTGGAGGAGCGCTCCCCACGCCTCTCGCCCGCGGGAGGGGAGGAGTTGAGAAACCTGCCAGCCTCACCCTCCTGGTCCCCCTTTCCATCCCTACCCTCCCCTGCGTCCCCTCCCCCTCACTCTGGCGCTGGCTGGCTCCCCTCCCCCACACCCGTCCCCTAGACCCCCCGGGAGGGGGCCGCGGCCTCCGCACGCAGCCAGAAACCACGGAGGGGGTAGCCCCACCTTCCCCGGCCTCACTCACTGGGGGGAGCCCTGCGCACATCCACCCAGGCGTGCCCCTCCACACGCGCCTGGGAAGGGCCATCCTGCCCCCCAGCAGGCGCCCGACCTACGGCGCACAACCCGAGAGAAGCTGACTGTCCTCAGGGAAGGTCTAATGGAGGTCAGGTGCGGTGGGCATCTCTTTGCCTGGCTGTTGCTGAGGGGCTCTCTTTAGCTCCCCGGGATCTTTGGGGTGGCGGTGGTTGCTCTGGGAAAAGTGTCTGGGTGCAGACTCCGAAGCGGAGATAAATTTGAAATAGCGCCTTTCTCAGAGCAGGGACTTCAAGTTCCTTCCTGGGGTAGCTACCTCGAGAGTCCTTCCTAAGTGTTGTTGACGGAGTGACTATTCCCAGGGGGAGGACCTGCCTGTGGGTTGGCTGGATCCTTCTCAGAGCCGGTGCTCTGCCCTCCCCCAGCCGCTCCTGGGAGTTTTTGTTTCCCTTGTAAACTCCCTTTCCTGTGGAACAATGAGGCTCACTTGCGGGGGCTCGCCGCTGTCTATAGATAGGTTTGGGCGGACCGAGTGTGTGGTTAGGGTCACCTCGTGAGGCAGTCTGTGTCCCCAACTGGATCTGTCAGATTCTTGAGTGCCCGTGCCTCCGTGGATTCTTGTGTATGTGATCTGTAGGAATCTTTGTTTTTCCCTCGAGGTCTGTGCTTTAGGAAATGTAAAAGAAATGAGCAGTCACAATCAGCATCGGTGGTTATAGGGCAGTTCATTTTGTTCAGTTTTGAAGGGTGGAAATGGATTCCCTGCTCTTAGACAGCTCCTTTGTCCCTTTTCACAAAAACAGAAGCTCTTGGGGTAAACTGGACCAGAAGCAAGTCTGATCCTCTCCCTATTGTACAGATACGGAAATAGGTCCAAAGAGGGGAAATGACTTTTCCAGATTGACGAAAGGACCTGGGAATGGAACCAATTTTTCCTGAGCTCCTTCTCCTTTTTCCACTGCTGGATCCAGCATCTCAAGCACCCTGTGGCACAGGAACCATGATCTCAAACATCAGCTTCGGATAACGCCCCTGGGTCCGCTCTCTTACCTTCTCTCCCTTGTCCCTTTCATTTTCAGCCTCCACTTTCCTCTTTGATTGAGTTGCCGCTCTTTTCCTATTCTTCGCCTTTCTTACTTCTGCCTGTATTTTCGAACTGCTCAGGACACCCATGGTCCTTTTTTGGTTCTGGGTGGTCCTCCTGGTGATACTCAACCTTCCATCCCCCGCCCCCCCGCCTGAAGTTTCCCATCATTGGCACTGTCTGACCGTGTGTGTTGGGCTTACAAGCTTCCCGAAGCCGGCATCCTTCTTTTCCTCTTTTTTCTCTCATTTTCGGCGTTGTGACTTACCCCAAAAGCACATACTGGCACAGAAAGAGTTGGGAGAGCCCCCATCCTGACCTTGGGAGTGTCCTCTAGTCTGTTCAGGGATTCAAATGGAGCCTGAGGCAATGTTTCATTAGCTTGACAGGACTGTGGGTCCTGGGAAGTGACCATGTCACATTTCAATTCTGCTGGACCCCGGGGGGAGTGATTTGATTAGTACAGTGAGGATGGAAATAGGAATCAGGTAACCTCACGGGGTTCTAGTTTGGCTCTCTGCCGTATTTGTGATCTTAGGCTAGTGCTCAGTCTTTCCATCTGTGGAGCAGGAGTAATGATACTTGTCCTTTGGGTCGACCAGGATAATAGCTACATTACATGTACAGTAAGGGATGACTATTATTGGGCAGCTGTTAACCCCTTCGGATTTTGTGAGGAGGAAATAATACTGCCCCAGGAGAGTTGGTCAAAGGAAGCAAGGTTTCCCCCTGCTAGATCCCAAATGGCAAAGGTTACAAAGGTAAGGGTTCTTTCCTGGGTGTCTGGTCTGTCCTCTGGACCTGGGATGTCTGGAGCATATGTGGGTGCCCTTGTGTTCCTTCTCCCACCATGGCTGTTGCTCATCGTGGGCTCTGCCATCAGGGAGGAAGAAAGGACAGGATATGATCACGTCAAGCAAAGGCCCAACCCCAGCCTGGGAAGCCTTGTGGAGAGGAGAGCCTGAGCTGCTCCAGGAATTGGAGCCCTCATACTGAGGGAATGGGGTCTGGGAAAGCACAACCAGTGACCAGAAGTCTCCCACTCCCTGGGGAGCCTGCACTTGGAAAAGTTTCCAGCAATCTCCCTGGCACAGGGTCATGTGTGAATAGCATGACTTCTCATGTAACCAAGGAGAAGGAGAACCTGGGTTGGAAGCCTTGTTCTCTCCCCCAGTCCCACGTGAGTGGGGGACCCCTCCTGACATTCCAGAAGGCAGGAGCTGCTGCCCTGTGTCTGAGTCAGTCTGAGTGCTGGTCTCCTCCGCTGATGCTTCTGACTCAGGCCCTTTCACCTTTGCTGTTCAGCTTTGCCTCCAACTACAACCGGTGAGTCACTTCTCTTCCCTCCCTCTGCTAGCCAGCTGAATTTACTCCCCGGAGATGGTCCCTCGAAACCTGAAACCTAGAGGCTGACGGACTCAGCCGGAACTAGGAACTGGGAAATGTGCAGATGCGCGGTGGTGGGATTCCAGTGCTTCCCTCTGTCTGTACCTCCCGGCTCCAGGATGCTTTCACTTCTCGGTGTTTCTCGCTAGTGTCTTTGTGACCTGGGCGTGTCTGGGGTCTCCAGGGCAGTGTTGGTTTGGGGTAGAACACCTGTAGATAAAAAAATAAAAAAGTTTCATTTACTTAGAACAGGTTGATACATTGATACACACTACAGACATCGTGTTACCTCAGGCACCTTGTTTATTTCACTTTGGATGCCCTGGTGGTCTTTCCCGGTTGGCATTAGGGGCGTTGTGGTCTTGGTCTTTAAGATCCCACCGCTGCCCACCATGCCCCTCCCAAGTCACCCAGTCAAGGGCCACCTGTTCTGTGGACACCGAGAGGGCTGACACCTTTGCTCAGGATTGAAGATTGTAGATTGAAAAGCTACACCCATTTTGCACAATTGAGTAGGAAATAATGGAGCATAGTTTTCACATCTGTTAGCTTTGAGACACTGTGGGGGCCTCTAAACTCATTTGTTTCCTTTTCAGAGGTTCAGGAAAGGTCTGGATGACCACTTGTCAGATGTAATTGTGAAAGAGGGGACAGCACTGTGCAGGGGCGGATGGTGGGAAGCCACGTGAGTGGATGCATACTGGGCTTGTCCAGACATTGAAAACCCAGAATTCATCTGTCTGGGACTCCCTGATAAGCAGGGTTTCTGTCTAAAGTCCGGCTGTGGCATTAGTTTCGCAACGTTGGGGTTAGGACAGGAGGAAGCAGCTGGCTGACAAGGAAGCTTGACGCCAGGCCCCTGGAGAGAGCCCTGTGCGGGTGGGGCACAACCTTCCCTTGTACTGGGGAGATGGGTGGGAAAGGGGAGGAGCGGAGCAGGTAGGACTAGAAATGGAAATTCTGCAGAGAGAGGGCAGGAGGGAGCCATGAAGTGAAAGCTTTCCTGTCCCACACTGCTGATCCCACCTTCTGCCATCCTGAGGGCCATTCCATCCCTGACATCACTCCAAGTGCAGCCAAGAAGGGCGGTTTAGGCTCATCCCACCTGTTGCTGGGCTCACAGAGCCTTCCTCTTGCCCACGCATTCCTTATCTGTTCTACCCTAACCTTCAGGAGCAAGTTCCCTCTTTACAGAGTGACCGGTGGGGAGGAAAGGGGAAACCGGGGTCAGAAGCCCTAGGTCCAGGTTCTTTTTTATTTGACAGAGATCACAAGTAGGCAGAGAGGCATGCGGGGGGGTGGCGGGGAAGCAGGCTCCCTGCTGAGCAGAGAGCCCAATGTGGGGCTCGATCCCAGGACCCTGGGATCATGACCTGAGCTGAAGGCAGAGGCTTTAACCCACTGAGCCACCCAGGCGCCCTGACCGGGTCCAGGTTCTGATGGGACTGCTTTGCCAAATGCATTTGTTTGTCTAGGAAACATGGGTATCTGTAGGGTTTTGAGCACTGTGCTAGAGAGTAGGAATAAAGCAGTGAATAACATCTGCTATCAATAAGTCCTGAGGGAAGCTGGGGGTCCTGGGAACCCACGTTAGGTAAACGGAGTATATCCTTTCAGAGCCAGACGCCCTGGCTCTTCCTCCTCATTCCACTGCTCCAACTTCCTTACAGCGGGGAGGGTCCTGTGAAGCTCGGATGCCTAGAGGGGAAGTTTGGGTGAATTCATAGAGAAAACCAGAGAGGCCGGCTGGCTGGTTTCCCTCCTTTTCCTTCTCTTTAAAACAAACAAACAAACAAACAAAACCCACGGAATTCAAACAAACTCATGGCACAAAAGCAGCTTAAGGAACATTCTAATAATTAACAGGATATATAGAGGAAATAAGGTTTCTTGATAAAGCAGGAGAAGGGAGGAGCTTCCCTGTGGTGGGTTTGATTGCCTGTACAGGGGTGGTTGGTGGTGGGTTCTGTTAAGTGTGGACACCTTTGCCCTCTGTGACCACCTCATCGCGGCGTGCTTCAATGGGGGCATGGAATGCTTCTCAGGGCAAAGCACAGTGCTCGGAGCTGGAGAGGCACAGACAGCTTGGATTCTCTTCCCAAAGAACTACAGACATGCACTGACTAAGCCGAAAACGGCAGAATGTGCCAGGCACAGTCATCAAAGTACAGAATGTTTTGGGGGCATACGAGGAAAGAGGTACATTTTTATTAAGAAATAATATGTGCT